ATTAGTTTATTGTAAAAAAAAAAAATTGCTTTAGTGCCCTCATTTTCTTTATTGTGTTTTACAAGGGTTGCAACTGACAGCAGCAAACGTGTGATACCCATTCATATTCCCCTGCTCACACCTACTGAACTGAGCATTTGCATTTCATATGGGGGCATTAAACTAAACCACCTATGCAACTGTGACTGAATTAGAGATTTCATGCTTTAAATCAAGGGACAAAGTGCAAAGTGTACCTCAAATGAGCACAGCTGTGAAGCCAATATGAAAAGAAATACAAATTTCTTGGTATGCCTGGCTCATTCCTTGTGGCTTTCCATTGATGACGAAGAATGCTGTGTAAAAGCCAGCAAAAGTGCATGGCCCATGGTAACTTACAACCATAAATTACTGGAGTTTGCAGTCAGTGTGAGCTGTCTGCTTAAGATAAAGGGATATTGTCTTGAGTTAGACATAGCATATAAACAGGATGACAATTTCCACCACTACTTTCTGTACTGCATTATATTTTTTTCTCATTTTAGGTAAATACCTAGATCAATAATGGCTAACTAGGTTTTGGTTGTTTTGTTGTTCTTGGTTGTTTCACTGGTTTATTTTGTTTTAAATGCCTGTTCTGCAGACAGATTCCATTTTTCACATCCTTGGCTGTCCAGAAAGAACATTTCATAATCAAAAGAAAATATTAGAATTGAAACAGAGTATGYTATCCTTGAGGGCATGAGAGCAGCATCTGTAGACCTGGATTCAGTATTCTCAGTTGTRCAGATATCAGTATTAGGAGTGAGCATCAGGTCCAATCAAAGCAGTTGTGCCACAATTGCAGTTTGAGGTAGCACAGGTATGAGGGTCGGTGTTGGGAGTGATAGGACAGCACTCCTGATGCCTTTCAGTGGGGCTTCTGCAGAAAGTGATGTACAGCAGTCACTTAACCCACTGTCAAACRCAGTCAGACACCAGAAGTGCCACACACCTAGATGAGTATCAGGCGTCAAGTCTTTTACTCAATAGGAGTCTGCAAGAGATAGATGTGCAATTTTACCAAGCAGTGGTCAGCAGATGGTCACTTCAGATGCCTCCTTTGCAGTCATTAAACTCAGAATTCCAGTCCTAAGAATGGATTTGTCAAGCAAGGAAAACAATGCAGGGGAGTAGAGGAAGGATATTTGAAGCTTTGGGCTTCAAGTTCATGTGTATGTGTGAACCATCACCTATCCATCCACTTTTAGCTGCATTTTCTGAAAATTTCTAAGATTAATTTTATCACAAAAGACATTTAGAGCAAGTGACTGTTTAAAAACATGCATTTTGTCAGATAAATACCTTCCACATATTTTGAATGCTCTTATTGCTCATAATTATTGTGAGGTAAAYCATAAAGTTAAGTCTGTTACACTCATACTTCTGTGGGACATTTCTTCAAATAATTTCTTAATATACTACAAGGAAAGACATTAATCATGTACATCTTTTGTGTTATTTAGTCATAGCACATTCCTAATATGCCCTCACAAAAATATATGCTGCATTTATGCTCTCATATAGACAGATTTATTCCTGTACATTTAGGTCTGGAAGATGAGCATGGTAAAGTTCAGCCCACCTTCCTATAAGCCCTGTGAGAAGGAAACTAGCTATTTATTGGGATGAAGGAACATATCTCTGTTCTTTCCCCTTTTCCAGAACTGTAAGGAAGAACAAATAATTCAGAGCAGGAAAGAGGCTGAGCTCTGTTTGGATCCAGTTAGCAAAGACCAAAACTCATCTCCTGCAGACAAATAAAGTCAATCTGAACAACTTTAGAAAAGTCAGTAGCTCCCCCACCACAGAAGGGTCACCATTACAGCTTCCAGTGGCTTGGGTAGGCCAGGGAAAAGGGGCTGGCACATCCTCCTCAAGAAGGAAGGTTTCTGCAGATCTCTACCACATATTGAGCTTGTCTTCTCACAAAAGGCTTTTAGAAGCAACAAAGAGTGCCAGCCATTCRTGCTATGTCATGCTCCATGACTACAAAGCACAGAGCTCAGAGGAGCTGGTCCCCTGGCAGGTGATCTGATGGCCAGGCTCTCTTTCAAGAAAATGTGCTCTACATGCAGACCATTCTTAAAAATCTACTGATTTAAAAATAGGAATTAGCTAGGCTTTGAGGGGAGATAAGTTATAAAATCATTAAACCTTTAAAAGGCAAGACGGAAAACGCTACATTTTCACTGAATTTTATATGRTTTACTCCATCATTTGTAATTATTATAGTTTAAGGCCTATTAARCAGAACTACACTTTCATTTAGCGAGGTTTTTTAATATTTAATGTTGGCTTTCCAATGTTATATACATTTTAATGGTGTATAGTTAAAATTAATATAATCTAGTAGAATTTGAATTTGGTGAAAATGCCAGAAGGATTATACAAGAACTATAATAACAGCATCAATAGCATTTTTGGAAGACTGAAATACAGTTTTATGCCTAAGAGTGTTTCTGATAGCTCATGCTCAAAAAGCCATCTGTATATTAAAAAAAGCAGCAGAAATAATGTTAGGTGGAAAATGAACCAATAAATATTCTATAACCTCTCTCCATCTTTTTTTTCCAGAGATTATGATGGCAATTAGGACAGTATATAGTGTTTCTTTGATATGGATGSCAAGTCTATATGCCCAGTTGAGTTATTAAATTCTTAAAATTCATTATGTTCAAATCCCGCTTTCTAAAGTGATTTTCTGTTAGAACTACATCAAATGAAAGCCTTATTGCTGGCTCAAATGTAATTCAGTTCATCCTTGTTGTGTCAGGAGGTATTTTTATATATAAGGGGAAAGAAATGAAAAAATTTTAAAAATCCCACTAGTCATCAAGAGGGTTTTTTAATATCATCAGTACTACCATAAAGCCAGATGATAAACTGCACATTATTCAGAGGAAAGAAATTGAATGAAATTAGCATTGCATTACTCAAGATTAATCATAGCCCTGGATTCCTGTCATTCCATGGAAAATAAAAGCTTGCCTCATTCAGATTTTAATGTTTSTTCTCAGACTTTAACATTATTTGTAGTGAGAGACAAATAAGAAATCCATTCACTGAAGGAAGAACACAAGAATATTTTGAACTGGAAGGGTTGGTAATTTTTTWTCACCATTTCTATCCAACAGTAAAGCAACATTGATGGCTTGGATCCAGATGGTTAACAACATTAATATTTCACAATAGTAACCTAATGAAGCTCTTTAGTGCTGGTGACAGGTAAATGCTTGAAAGGTTTATGGCAAGGRAAAGAAGTTTCAATAAATAACTAGAAAATTTGCCTCTTCTTGCTTTCATAATTATTGCTTTTTATAATGGCATAATGGAACAGCAAAGCACAATTGGAAAAAAAAGGCTAGAAAAGAGGAAGTCTCTTTGGAGCTACAAGGATGTACAGTGGGATTTGKTTTTTTTTTTTTACTTCTAAGATGAATAGCTAGTTAGAAACCATTAGGCCTCCCTCAGACTTAAGGGGAGAATTTAAAAATCCTTTTTCATATAGCTAAGTCTCTCTGGGGATCAGACCTAAAATAGGAGAGATGAAGATTTTTCTCTGTGCAAGTAGAGAATAATAGTTTCAGGATGYTTTAACTGCAAGAAGAAAGTTCTGATATCTCTCAGATGAGCTTTTCTCCCTAATCCTGGTTAGCTGTGAATTTCACATCCAGAAACCTGGTGCTCTTTTAACAGTGAGGGGAAAATGTGATGCCTGACTTCTTCAAAGGTCAGGAGGATAGTCCTGCAGGGACTCGGATGTTTCTGGAAAAACCTTTTTCATTGACAAAGCAGTAAATGGAAATTTTAACAGAAATTGCCTCCTTTTCTCCTTTTTTTTTTTTTTTTTTTTTTTTTTTTTTTTTGAAAGAGGCAGAAATTGGCTTGAAAGAATATCTGGAAATTTTTCAGGTTTTGATCAGAAGTGCACCATATTTCATCAGCTGTTTTCCCTTTCAGTTATAGAAGATGATATACATTAAAAAAAAAAAAAAAAAAGGAAGAAAAGGATGACTGACAGATATTTTTCATGTCAAAATTTAAACAAAAACCTGGGTTGAAAATTTCACTTTAAAAAAAGAAACCTTCTACTTCTGTTAACATTTTCTACTGTCAGTTTTCCAAAAASATGTGATTAGGAAAGTGTTGTCAGTTTTCCTGTGGGTAGGTGGAGCTGGTATGTCTCAAGGTCCGCTTCAGCATCTCTCAATGCCCACTTGAAGCTGGTAGCATTAATGGGTCACCTAGCAGGACTCAGATATTTGAATGCAACGTTCCTTCAGCCTCTGGTGGAAGAATGACCCTCARAAGCATTGGCTAACACTGGATTTTTGCATTTTCCAGTGCAATGTGGCTGGTAAAACAACAAAAAAAATCAAAAGACGTACAGTTATATCACATGGCATGTACACAAGAACAGCAGCAAAATAGGCAACAGCCAAAGGGAGGCAGCTGAGGAAAGATCCATCAATGTGGGAACTGCAGGCATTGCTGGAAGCACCAGCCAAGGGATATGGAGTGTGGTACATAAATAGTGTGATGGGACTGAAGCAAAGAATTCCACATGCAGTTTATTTAGATTGAATGCCATTATGCAAATAAAGCATTTCATTACAAAGCAGCCAAGATGCATTATTCTGTTTCCTGCTGCTAAAATAGGAATTATTCAGCAGTTGTTTGCATAACATTATTRAGGGGAGGTRTACTTCAGCCTCAAAGCTCTTGCTKGATTTGCTGTTRTTATTTTGGGCCATACCATCTAAGTCCTGACTGTCCACTCCTTCAGGAGCACTATTCCTCTTTTAACGTTCAATAGTTTAAGGTGAAAACCCTTATAGATAGTGATATTTGGTTGATTTGTGAAAAAGCCAAGTCATAGCTCCTCTTGGCTCTTTTCCCCAGCTGTCTTTGTTTTTTTTTGAGGTTCTGCTGGAAGCAATTCTGTGCCTTCATACTAAAGCCAACATTTCATTTCTCAGTTTCTACAGATCAAGTGATGAGATGTCATGTGTGAACCCCCTGAAGGCTGAGAAGAGAAACTCTGACTTCCCCACAGAAAATTGTGAACTGCAGTTTCTTACTGGCTGACAACACCTTTGATTCAATTTGTATGAAACTCAATTTACCTATGAAAATGGACGTTATTGTTCAAATATTAGAAACTCCATTTCTTATATGTTCGAGGCTGTAAAATTGTCAGATTTTTATGGTTTAGATTGTAAATGTGGTTTTCTCTGGCTAATTATTGGTATTATTTTTTTAATTTTGATGTCTTAAAGGCCAATGTACTGTATCATAATAATATGAAGGACATATTTAACAAGTKTGAAAAACACTGTATACAAATGTATATTTCTAAAAGCTATTTTTATGATTAGCACGTTTTACTGTTTTACCATAGAGTCAGGTGATATTGCACTTCTTTGTTTACTGCTTAATTCAAACGACCATTTTGATCAGTGCCACAATTATATACATTGTATGGTATTTCCCATCATTTTATTAAATTTATTTGTCATTGGAAATAATTACATTTAGTAATAGAATAGCTTCTAAAATGTGAAAATGTCAAARTAACAGAGCAATCCTTGATAAACTGTAAATTGGATCCTCCTGTAAATCCCTTTCTTCAGATAAGCACTCTCTGTGATGCCATTCCTCAGACAGTTGTTACAGCTGTTCTTGCAAATCTCTAAAGGCAGTTTGTTGTTACCATATGGAAAGTCAGTCAGTCTCCTGTCTASCCAGGAAAATTATTTATACCCTGCCAATATCTGACAGCCTGAGTTAGCCTACTTATTACTTATTGGGTTTTTTTTCTGGCAGTAGTCTTTCCACTCACAAACCCCTAAGGGCATCCTAAAAGCCTAAAGTTGGAACAATTAATTATTACAGATGCTGTAGGGGGAATCTCAGTATAGAATTTCTTAATAAATCATATTTCTTTTCAAACAGAATGGATGCATTATTTCTCTCGTGTTACTGAGATATTAAAGGTATCAAAGCATACATGATATGGGCACAAGATCTTGTCTAATAAAAGTACCAACTTGTTCACCATCCCAAAGTCAGACCTCTTCAGCACTGCAGATGACACAGAACAAGGAATACGTATTTATTCATCTACATCTTTATGTGAGCAGTACTCAATATAGAAAGAGACATGTCTTTAAAGTGACTGCAGGGTAAATAAATTATTTAGTAGCTACAGCCTTCCAAGAGGGACAGACATTAATTTAGGAAGTATTTTATGCAGCCAAATGGAGCACAGACCCAGCTGTGTGCCAGTCTGCAGCAAGGAGCCCTGACCACTGAGATCCATGACCAGGGTGTTTGGAATTTGGGGTCATCCAGCCCTACAAAAATGAACTCTTGCCTTTCAATTGTCCTTTCAATTGTTCTCTAGGCTGAAAGCAAGAAAAAACAAAATRTACCAGAAAGACTTTCTAAAAGATCAAACTTTAAATTTCTATTTTAAAAACAGTTTCTGAGATGACAGGTTCACCTCAAGCAGTGGRGGTGTGAGCAGATGAGACTTCAAGGTCCCTGGTCAGGTTTCTGACAAGGAGATCATCAAAGAAGATCTGATAGTCTTCAAAAAATTTGGAAGAGAAGCCAGCATTTGAATTCAATTATCTTTTACTGAGATTTTTTTTCACTAGGCAGCTATGTAACAGCACTCTCAGTTATGTTTGTGTACCTTATATTTAGCTGTTTGTGTGGAGTTACATGGTTTACATAAGCGCTGAGTAGTACCTATCTCCTAAAATAAGGAAAGACTTGTATAAGTAGTTATACCTAAGCATAAAGAATTGCAGGTCAGAATTCACCACAGCTGACTCTCCCAGAAAAGTGCAGTAAAACTATTACTTCTGTGTAAGTGAAATGTTAGGTCAAATCAGAGGGTGAAATATTTCTCCACTTTCTATCTATTAATATAGGTTATGAACATTTTTAACTGTAAAAATGCAAAAAATAATTGCCATTTTGGGATCTCWGTCTTTGGCTGACAGTTAAAAAGAAACAAAACAAACTCCAAACCTTAGCAGCTCAAGGGGCATTTGTCCTATTTAAATCACGTAAACTGTTGGCTGACTTAAAAGATGCAGAATGTCATCCAAGGAGATCAGTTCTATTTTGGTGTTAATAAACCAGATATGAGAAACATCCAGGTATATTGTCTCTCCACCACCTCCATTCCAAATGAGTTAATACTCCCAGAAAGCACTCTTAGATTTTTGCACATTCTTTACAATCATTACCCTTAGATGACAAACTCACAGAAATTAATGCACAGTCATAATGCTGACATTGTTTCACACCACAGTTTACATCCTGACTTTTGAACACAAGAAGTCACCTCTGATAACACCATGAGGAACTGGCTCATTTGCAAGCCAGAAGATTGCTATCCTGTGCAGTCTATTACTAGCAAGGTTTCACAATGGCACGTTTGTTTAAAATCACTCCAGAGGATGCTGGTGGCTTCGACAGARCTTTATAGTTCTCTGCTGTCCATGTCTGCAGTGTGCTCAGTGTTGTTTGCCATCACCATCTGTCACTTGTTTGACACGAGTTTTGTCGGCTGTGGGGTTTTTCAGCATTGCTCATCCCTTACAGTACGGAAGAGGAGGAAACAGAAAAGATCTTGTCAGTCTCTCTGGACAGTCAACAGTCTCATAAATTCCTTTATGGGCAGTCCTGAATCAAACCAATTCACCTCCTACACAGACCCATGTGCTCTGTGTATTTCAGATATTTGTTTCAAACATGGGAAGCTGCATGAATGGAAATATTTACTAAAAAGCTTTAAAGTTTGGATCAAGAAAAAAAATATTTTTACTTTTGTAAACTCTTGTATTACATATTGTYGCGGTTCCTATTCATTTTCTCTGTGGATCCATTTTTAGTTCTGAAAAATCACTGTACTTAAACTATGTAGATAACTATAAYCTTGTTAGCAGTCACATTTTTAATTGGTGCCACTGCAATTTAGAATTAAAACATTCAGAATTTGCCCATTAGAGAAGATCGATGGTTCATTAAAGTTTTCTTTATAATGTTGTAACATAATTTTTACATGTCTGTAAATAAATATTTTCTCTGATTTATGCACTAATTCAGTTTCGAAATTTCTTCTTTTAAAATGTGACTCTAAGACATTTCCCAGGAAAAACATATTTCTCTCATGGAAAAAATTGCTTTTAAGGCTCTATAATGCAACCTTTCTTCACCAACTTCCAAGCAGACCAAATAGAAACAGGCATCCAAAATATCAAGTACTAATCTTAGGTAAGTAAAATGGAGAAAAAATGTTAATCTTGCTATCATTTAAATAGTTTGAGAAATACAAGCACTGGTGCTGTATTAAAAAAATTACTGACAAGAAATGTGACAAACTTCCTGAAAAGAGGGAATTGTTCGGTGARGTGAGAAAGAGGGAGGCACGGTGGGGATATTTCACTGAATTTAAGAAATTCATTTTCTTAATCTTGGAAGCTTCTAAGTTTCATGTATCATTGCAGCAGTATGAACATAATTTATGAAAACCATGTTAAAAATAGTTACCATTTTCTGTTCAGTATCYAAATACCTTTTTCATTCATAATTCCCTATTCCATTCACAAGGTATTGCTATGCAGGCAAGCTAGAGAAAATTGGTCCACAAAGTCTATGAGAATGTTTTGGTTTTTTTTTTTAATTCTATTGGTATTGTTGGGGGAAAAAGACTATTCTGAAATATAAAGTAAAACCAGCAGAACTTGACAAGYTAGTACTGTAGCTGTGAGCATTTCTCAGCAGTGAAATGTTCTCACCATGAGGGATGAGAGAAAAAGATAAAACAAGGGCATTTGTGTACAGCAGTTACAGCCCTGTGCTTACAATCCCTTACAACAATCAGCTCTGGAAAACTGGTAAGAAAATCCTCTGAGAGTCTGCTTAGAGAAAACACAGAGTGTTACAGTGAATAAATAGTTATGGGGTTTTGGATGGTGGAATAATAACTCATTTGAGACAAAAAGAGCTTGAGGTTTTGCAGTTGCTGTAACAAGTACTTTTTTTCTGATTAACCTCTCAAAGAAAGATTGCTGTTCCACCCTTGTGTGAACAGAATTAATCCACAAGTATCACACTGTATTTTAACAGTAAACTAGTTCCCAGAGCATCCATGTCATACAAACCCCACTAACCAAGCAAAACTGTTTCTGAAGGTTACCTTTAAATCCTTCTGACCCTGTCCTGGCTACATAACTTAGCAGCCTAAGGTAACGGAGAGAAAGCTTTGCACAAGCACTCTGTTGGTCTATCACTGAGTGTGAATGTAGCTGTGGTATGTAGCTATGGATATGTGGRAAAAAAACACCCTTCCATTGCTTTGTGTGTTAGAAATTAGAACYAGAAACAACTAAAGTTGTGCAAAAAAAAGAATCAAACCCATCCCTGTCGGTTGTCATTAAATGAGTACCTTCAGTGTCCACTCCAACTGSATTCTTAAGCAGAAACTGCAGCATTTAGCACATTATTTAAAGAAAGAAGGAATGATGATATTGCTGCTGCCAATATTGCTTCTGCAACAGGAGCACTTTGGAACATGGTGGAGGATACACAGGGGATACACAGCATGGCAGGACTGCAGCTTGATTCTGGGCTGAATGAGCWTTGCAAGGATTTTACCTCAGGAAGACTGAGAAAATTATTGAAAAGGGATGTTTTGCACTTGTGCTGATATCTAACATTTGAAGACCCCACCCCCACATACTTATTTGTTTTCACATCTCTGCTGGCATGCCATGATTTTTACTATTCTTTCAAGAGCTGAGCCTCAAAATTTGCATCTGCTTTTGGTTGAACTTACTACAAGTTCAACAATAATTATAATAATAATTAATATATAATATTTATTAATATAATAATGATTATTATAATATATATTATATTAATATTATAATAATTATAAATATATAATAATTATTAATATAATAATTAATAAACAGTCAATAACATTAAACATTTGCCMCTTCTTCAGAATTTTTGCCTTCATGTTTAATCCACAATATAACGGAGGAATTTCATAAAGATCGGTTTACTTGAGTGGTTATATTAACTGTAAATCTGCACTTCCATTGATGGAAAAACTGTAGATCATAGAATCATGGAATGGTTTCAGCTGGAAGGGACCTTAATGATCACCCAGTTCCAATACCCCTGCCCTGGACAGGAAGAGTTTTCACTTGACCATCCAAGGTGATCTTGAGCACTTCCAGGGATGAAACATCCACAACTTCTCTGGGAAACCTGTCCCTGTGTCTCACCACCCTCACATTAAAGAACTTCTCCCTGATATCTCATATATATCTCACACCCATATGACATATGTCAGTTTTACTGTGTGTTGCCTTATCTATAATCAATGCACCAGTGAATGAAGTTATGCTTTACAAATCTGCTCATTGAGCACTATTATTTCAGGTAGCAGGCTTTGGAGAGAAAATTTATCAGGATCAGAAACATAAAAGTGTTTTTTGACAGCAAGCTATATAAAATCAATTGTGTTGATTTCAAGGATGAGTGACCTTTGAAATTTAGATACTGCTGCAATTACATGAGGATCATTTGTAGGTGAATTGCGAGTTCTGAGTTATTCTTGTTGTAAGCTAACAAAGTGGGGAAACAGGACTGCTATCAGTTTACAGGGGTCTCCTTCTGGTCAATTCATTCACATTGGGTTTGGATGATTCAAGTCATGTCACAAGGTAGCGYGATAGAAGCAGACAGTCAATAAAGGCAGTAAGAAAAATGACAAAAATCAGTGCCCATGGAATTGCAGATGTAAACTGTAGATTCAAGGGAAGCTCTGTGAAACTCTCTACAAAGAGAGCACCTTCACTGTTCCTGCTTACTCAAGGGAGTGAATCACCTAACCAGACGTTGGATTTCTGGCAGTTTCCTCAGATAGCTCTTTTCAAAGGAGTCTTTATAGTGGACAAGTTCAAGCTTTTTTCCCACCACCTTAACCCCATCTTTTTCATGTGTTTTTATTTGTCTCATATGTTGAACTACAAGTTTTTTTCAGAGAGGACAAAAGCAGGGAAGTGCTCCCAGGAATGAAGAGTGTGACTGAATGGTTTTGTGCACACCTACACACACCCCAGACCTGCAAAAGGAGATCCCCTCTCCACGTTCAGGGCTAACTCCTGAGGGCTGAAGTTGCAAGAGRCTGAGTTTGAAGGACTAAAACTCTCACAGAGCTTATGAGCTCCTCTTTAAATATGGATTTAGAGATTGTTCTTCATCTGCAAACCTCAAGTAGTCACAGAAGAAGAAGGTTGAATCAATTCTTAGCTATAGAGAAGGGGTGTAGGACATGGAGAG